CTCTGCTTAGCTGCTCATGTTGTATTTATTCTTTTTGACCTATTGGCAATATTGGCTTCATTGTCTGTTTCTAGGGTATCTTTGAGAACTTTTTGTAATGTTGGTTTGGTGCTCATGAATTTCTTGAAGTGCTCTTTTTCATGGAAGTACCTTGTTTCTCATTAATTTTGAAGGACAGTTTTGCAAGACACGTAAGTCATTGATCTGTTTGTTACAGTGGAGTATTGATGTTTTCTGCTACATTTGTTTTAGTGTCTATCTTTTATATGTGTGGTAGTTTTTGTTCAACAAAGTTGGGAACCCCAACATTCAGTGCATATATATTTAAATTATCTCTTCTTGTTGAATTGTTCCCATTTTTAGTATGTAGTGATCACCTGTCTTTTCTGATCAATACTGGCTGGAATTTAATATGCCTAAGAAGATAAGCCTAATTTAATATGCCTAAGAAGATAGCTTCCCCTTCTTGCATTAAGCTCCAGTTGCATGGAATATTATTTTTTATACTTTCATTTTCAGTCTGTGTGCTTCCTTTTGAATGACATGTGTCTTATATTGGCAACATATTGTTGGATTTTGTTTTTTGATCTAATATGAAATCTATATCTTTTGATTGTAAAGACATTGACATTGAGAGTTATAATTGGTGTTTACTGAATCCTGTTGTTGCATTATCTATCTAAGGCTTATTCCTTTATATTTTCTTTTATTTTACTACTCTCACAGTTAGATATATACTTGCCTTTGGCCTTTTTGATGTTGGTAACTTGCCTGTCTCTGTCTTGGATTCCCTTAAGTATTTTTTGCAGTGCAGGTTTACTAGTTATATATTTCTTTTGGGTTTGTCATGGAAATTCTTTACTTCTCCATCAATTTTGAAGACTAATTTTGCAGGATGTGTAAGTCTGGATTGACACTTCTTTCCTTTAAGGCTTGAAAAACTTTTCTCCAAGCTCTCCTGGACTTTAAATTTTGTGATGATAAATTGGCTTTTTTTTCTAATAGATTCGCCTTTATACGTTACTTTCTGTTTTTCTCTAACAATTTTTAGTATTTTCTATTTTTGTTGAATTTCTGAAAATTTGATTATGATGTTTTATGGAGAGGTTCTTTTCTAGTTTTGGTTTTGTAAAGTTCTATATTCCTCTTGTACTTGAATGTTGACATTTTTTCCTAGATTTGGAAAACTGCTATGATTTCAGAGAATGGATTTTTTTATACTTTTTTGTTGTCTTCTAATTTTTTCTTTATTTCTATAATTCTAAGATTTTTTGACTCATCTAATAGCTGTTGGATACAGCCTGCATGATGTCTTGTTGATTTTTAGGTTATTGAATTCATGATTTACTATATCCACTTTTTTCAATTTCTAATATTCTGTCCTTAACACTGGTCAAATCTGCTACCTGGGCTACTTTTGAATTTTTCATATCTTGTATTTCTGCTTTCTTTTTTTTATAATTCCTAATTCTTTACCAAAATAGTTATATCTTTTTTCTTTGGTAGGGTCTTGCTATGTAATTTGAACTCACTATGTAGCCCAGGTGTGGCCTCGAACTTGCAGCAATCCTCCTGGTTCAGTCTCCCAAGTTCTGAGATTACAGGCATGTGCCACCATACCAAGCTATTTGCCACCATGCCAGGCTTATTCATATCTTGTATTGTTTTGTTTAACTCAGTTAGTTTATTGTTTGTTTCTTCTTTCAGCTTGTTGAGCATTCTATTAATAAAATCCTTTAAAACTTTAAACTTGTTAATTTGAATTTGGTTGTTTCTTCTTTGATCTCAAGAGAAAGCAGATATTAATATACCATGAGAAACAACAATGTACAACTATAACTCCCTTTGCAATAGAGATTTGCAATAATAATAATGTAGACACAAAGGTGAACTAAATATTGACACACAGTATCAACTAAAATGAACAACTATGACAGTATTAATAATAGAGAAGAATTGCACAATGCTATTATAGAGTCAACTAAATAGCTAAAAATTTATAAAGTATACTAATATCAATACTAAAATGGAGGAGATGGGAATGAGAAAAATGGAAGAAGTAAAATTTGAAAAAGAATAAAAATGAAGGTGAGAAGGTGAGAAAAGTGAGAAAAATCCAACTAAAGAATAAGTGTTAATAGAATTAGGTAAAAGTAACAGAAAAAAATAATAAACAGAAAAAGAAACAACACCCCCACCAAAATGAAGCCAAAAATTTCTTCTTTGGAGGGGGGGTAGTGGTTCCTTTTCAGGTCTTTAGTTTTGGGATCCACCAGGTATGGTGGAGGGCTAATGAATAAAAATTAGGGCCTGTTTTGTTTCCATGCCAACTTTTTGCTGTGTATGCTGAGTCTTGCCTCACTTTTTCTGCTAGGCAGGGTGAATCAATGTTGTTGTGTCTGACTTTGGGCTGTATTCACTCCAGCAACTCTTAGTGCTTGTGCCTTCTGTTTGCCCCAAGTCAGTGCTATCTATGACTAGTTAAATAGTCTGTGGGCTTGTGAGGTGTTCTTACTGCAGAGGCTCCTCTCTGTACACTACCAGATGTGGCAAGTGTCCAACACAAGGTGTATCCCTGAATATGTTGGCAGATCAGGAAAGCAAACTGACCACTATGTTCTGTGCTGGAACTAGTCTGTGAGTGGGGCCAACCTGTCTGCTAGATTTAATGCCAACACTTTCAGACCCAGTTCCCTCAGAAAATTACACCCAACTAGCTTGGCTTCTCTCCACAGTAGGTAGGGTCCCTGTGTCCTTTCTGTGCTGAGCTTGCCAATGTGAAAACTTCTCAGGGAGTCCATGACTAGCTTACTCCCCTATCCATCACTGTTGTTTATGGTCATTTCCTACCCAGTCGCTGTGGTAAGGTGACCCAAGAAAACTTGAAGTGTAGTTGTTCTGTAACTTTTGATTCCTGGAGTAGCTTGGTCTTAATAAACTCCTTTTGAAAATGGCTCCTGATTATATCACTTAACTACTTGTGCTCCATTGTCTGGTGACCCATGTTTATTCACTTCATTTGCAGTCTACATTGCTCCTTATAAATTTCCTCATTCATTAAAGAATGAATCAAATAAAAATACCATTATCAAAATTTTACATGTATTTTCATTGACTTTCTTTTAAAATTTTTCCCACTGTTTCAATAGGCTAAATAGTGCTGTAGAAAATATTTTTTATCTTTTTGAGCAAAATTGATTTTTTAAAGTTTATTTTCTTTGGATACAGTCAGATGAGTGGGATTATTAGGTCAAAAATTGTGAACTATGACTTTTGGCAAATTTCTAAAGCAATGTGCAGTTGTCCAAGTAAAATATGGTTAACTAATTAACTTAAGTCTTCATTAAATGGTACTAACAAATAGTAGTGTTTTACTAATATATGATTATGGTATAACCAAATATTTTTTAAAGAAATAGGCATTATACTGCAAAATGAGTTACCAGTAATTAACTACTTATATTTTAGTGGTAATGATTATTAGTATATATATAAATATTATTTTTGATACTGTATTTTGGGGGTTTAATCATGCAATTCTAGCTTTTTATATGTGGAAAATTTTCATTAAAAAAGCTCTCAGAAAAATTTTCATTAAAACTGAGAAAAATTTGAAGGAATAATAAAAATGAAGCTATATAAACAAAAGATTTAATTTAAAAATTAGTATTAAACTTTCATATGGTGAAATATTTTACTGTACTTGACTTTCCTGATACTTAGTAAAAGGATAATCAAGTCATACTTTGTGTATACTCAAGGAGCAGTAGAGTCTGATGAGGAAGATCACAAAATTTAAAACTACATCTGAATTTAAATCTCAGCTTTACCTCATCATATCTCTGGAATGTAAAAATATACTTTACTTTTCTTAGCTTCATTTTTCCTTGTAAAGATGGACATAAAAATTATGTTGGAAGATATATGAGCTACATGCATAAAACACAAATAATACATAGTGTATAATCAGCATTCAAGAAGACTTGACGTTGACAGAATATTTGACACTTACTAGATGTGTGCTGTGTAGCAGGTTAATAGAAATTTAGCTAATCTCTACCCTTCTGCTCCATCGTATTTCTCTTATTTTTAAATTTGTAACACTTTCTATTCAGATCAGTTGATGTTTCTAGTTTTGTTTCTTTGTTTCTGGGTGATTGGAAATATGATCAACATGTATAGACTTTGCAAGGACACAGAAGATAGGCAAAGAAGATATCAGAGAGTTCTTTGATTTTGATTTCAATTATTTTTCAATTTGAATTTGTTACTTGTACAAGTTTTTACTACACAATGATCACATCCCTATACATAACATATCTCATTTCTTCTTTTATCTCCTTTCCTTTCTCTCTTCCTTCCATCTCATCCTCCTTATTTCTGAAATAATCTGTCTTTATTTTCTATTATCTATTTTTTACACTTTATGTATATTTTGAGTTTCTCATATAAGAAACCAGGTAATATTTAAACTCAGACCTCTGATTTGTTTCACTTAATGTTATGATCTCAAGATGTATCCATTTTCTTAAAAATGACTCAAGTTTATCCATTTTTTTATGAGAGAGTATTACCCCACTGTATACAAATACCACATTTTCTTCATCCATTCATTTCTGGATGGACATATAGGCTGCTTCCAAGATTTAGCTGTGGTAAATTGTGCTGCTTTAAACATGGGTATGCATGTACTGTACCTCTGCAATATGATATCTTATGCTCTAGGAAAGATAGCTAGAATGGCAATAGCTGGGTTTAACGGAATTTCTTGTTTCAGTTTTCTGAGGAATCTTCATACTGATTTTCATAGTGGTTGTACTAGTTAACATTCCCACCAACAATGTAGATAGATTCCATTTTCCCCATAACCTTGCCAACATTTGTTATTATTTTATTTCTTCATGATAGCCATTTTTCTGGAGGAAGATGTAATTGGTTTGAATTTTATTTCTTTTTCCCTTGAATCCTTATCTTTTATTTTCCTTTTTCTTACTTTCCAGGTTAAGTGCATATGTAGAAAAAAAATTTGGTAAGACAGTTGAAGATCTCTACAACAGAATGGATTGCGCAGTGGAAAACAATATGTATGCAAACAAAATATGGGTTCAATGTGAGAATGAAAGTTGTTTGAAATGGAGATTGTTGTCAAGTGAGAATGCAGCCAGAGTTGATCACAATGAGCCTTGGTACTGCTTTATGAACACTGATTCAAGATATAATAAATGCTCTATTTCTGAAGAAGACTTTCCTGAAGTGTCTCAACTTTATAAAAGTGGATTTAAGATTGTCTATTCACAACTCCCTCTTGGAAGCTTGGTTTTGGGAAAATTACAGAATTGGCCAAGGTAAAGTTTTTGTTGTTTTAGGCTAAATTCTTGAGTTTTAGGGAGTCTTGTTAGGTGTATGATTTTTTTTTAAATCTCTTGAAAGTTTCCACTGTTTCTGTTTTGTTTACTTTCTTACTTATTGATTTCTGATCTCATCATTATTTTCTTCCTACTTTCTGAGGTTTGATTTATTCTTTTTTTAATTGCTTAAATTGGAAACTTATGTAACTGAATACAAATTTGTTATTCCTTTTAATGTTGACAAGTAAATCTATAAATCTTTAAGCACTGCATTTGATTCATGTCACACATTGATATATTCTTTAATTCAATTTGAAAGCTATTAATTTCCTTTGTGATTTCTTCTTTGAAATGGTGTATATGAGTATGTTTTGAAATTATCAAATATTGGGAAATTTAAATGTACCTTATTGAGTTTTTAAAATCTATATTAGTAAATTCCACTGAGTCTTTAAGGCCTATGAGGGTATATCTTGTAAAGATTTCATATACATTTGAAAAGAATGTATGTTCTAAAATTGTTACCTAGATGCCTAAAATATATATATACACACATATATATATTTATTTATGTATTTATGTACTTATTTATTTATTTATTTATTGGTACTGGGGATCAAACTCAGGACCTTGCGATTGTGAGCTCAGCATGGCACCACTGAATTACATCCCTGGCCCAAATAGATTTATTTTTTAGATTTATTAATATAATCTGTTTCACAAACATCAGTTTTCTCAAATATACAGTGTGCACTATGGCAAGTCTTATTTTTAGATGCTTTCTTAAATTATAAGCTATTATATTTTTTCTCTTATATGTCTCTGAGTTTCTTATTTCAGAATATGTTACTTATGATATATATTCTTTGTCTATTTTTAGGTTTTTGTCTTGAATTATTTTCGTCTTTCCAATTCCTTTAAAATTTAACTCTTTTTTCCTTTTGATACTATATTTTTCTGAGGGCATTACCAGTTGCTCTTATATTTCTTCCTATTTAGCATTCTTTACAGAAAATTTAAAAAAAATTTTCACTTTTCTTTCAAATCGTATCAATAATCATCTATTTAAATTTTTTTCAATTTACATTTTTACATTACCTACATTGTTTTCTTTATTTATTCATCCTAGCTTGTAATCTCAGGTACAATATTTTGATCTCTTTTAAGATCATGCCTCTCTGGAAAGAATTTTTTTTTTCTTAGAGATGTTATTGATTTTGACCCTAATAAATTTCTATTAGATTCTAGTATGACTCTTTCTTGTAACATTCATATATATGTAATATATATGTAATACATATATATGTAATGTATATGTACTATATTATTACTAAATATCAGGTTTATTGTGACATGAAAATCATATATTTTCATCATTGTCATTCTCCTTATTGTATGAAATGAATTTCTGTTATTTGAGAAGGGAAGAAGTCAGAAAAGATATTTTTAAAGTTTCTTTTCTGTTACTCAAATTGGGTCATTCCTATTGTTCTGTTATTCTTTAAATTGCTCTGTCATATTCATTGCTGTTGAAACTGTCTATTGAGCTTTCTATATCATATTTTCAGTTATAAAATGTCCATTTTTTCTTGGGTAATTTCTATTTATTTTTTCGATTTTCCATTTATTTTGAAACATAGGTAATTCTATAAAGTATAAAGCCTTTAGTACTACACTAAATGGATTTGTAGGGGAGGGTCATCCCTATTACTGCCAGGTAGGTTGGAAATTAACTTTTCCATTCAGCCTCTGCTGATTTTATGGGAGGGTAGGAGGGCTTACTTATGATTTGGCAGGAGTGAGAGTCAGGTTTCACATTCACAATTGTGGCTTGAAGGAATAGTGATACCTTATTACTGCTTCCAGGTGACATGAATTGACACCATGGGAAAGGACCTTGTTTTTACAGATAGTTGGTAAAAATTGTTGTTTTCACTATTTTGTACCACTACCTCAGCAGGGGAGAAGGTGTTTCATTCGTGCTGGGTACAGGCTCATTACTGGTCTTTGCTAGTGAGGGTAGATGTGATGGTCTGGTATAGAAAAGTTATTATGTAAGTTTTCTGTCTTGCTAAGCTTCCCACACCTACTTCCTTAGCTTACAGGACCAGACTATACTGGGGCAGCTGGTATTTTTTTTTTTTTTAACATTCAATTCAAGGGTACAAGAAATCCCAAGGAACTCATGGCTATGTCATTCATTCATCAGGCTTCAGTGTCCCTAGTTAGTATATTTTCACTATTAAGAGTCTTCTTATTTTTGTTTTATATATAATACCTTGGATTTCTCTATATATCTAGATGGAAAAATTTTTAGAAATGGTTTTGCTTCACTCATCCAGAATGTGAGGTTGCATAATAGATTTTTTTTTAGTTTTTAAACAAATAATACCTAGCCCAGACCCCATTCTTCTATTATTTTCTCAAAGTATCAAGAATATGGGAATTTTTCTAACATTTTATAAGTTTATTTTTCCTATTTTTATTTTATAGTTTAATTTTTTTACATTAATAGACTTCGTATTTTATCAAAGTTTTGGGTTTTCAGAAAAATTGAGTAAAAATGGCAGACTTTATACCGATCATTTCCCCATGAAATTTATCTCCATCAATGTAGTACCTAGCCCAGACCCCATTCTTCTATTATTTTCTCAAAGTATCAAGAATATGGGAATTTTTCTAACATTTTATAAGTTTATTTTTCCTATTTTTATTTTATAGTTTAATTTTTTTACATTAATAGACTTCGTATTTTATCAAAGTTTTGCGTTTTCAGAAAAATTGAGTAAAAATGGCAGACTTTATACCGATCATTTCCCCATGAAATTTATCTCCATCAATGTAGTACATTTGTTATATTCTATGAACCAGCACTCATTCGACATTAGCAGTCAGACCCCTAGTTTACAGAAAGGTTTATTTTTTGCACTGTATATTGTAGGGGGTTGACAAATGTGTAATAGCATGTATTCAGCATTATAGTACAGGATAGTTTTATTGGTCTAAAAATTATCTGTACTCCTATTCATTTCTCTCTACCAATCCCTCAGCAACCATTGCTCTTTTTTTTAAACCATTGATCTTTTGCCCTTTCTAGAATGCTATATAGTTGGAATCATATAGTATGTAACATTTGCAGAATGGGCTCTTTCACTTAGTCATATGTATTTACATTTATTCTATGCACTTTTATGATGACTACGCATTTTTATTACTGAATAATAATACATGTTTGTATGTAGCTCAATTTACTCATTCACCAAGTGGAGGACATTTTGATTGCTTTCAAGTTTTGGCACTTAAGAATAAAACATTTTAATACATGTGCATAGCTTTCTATGTGGACATGTTTTTAATTTCTTTGAATGAATACCAAAGATTGGAATTGCTGGATTGTATGTTATACGTAGCTGCACTTTTTGTAAACTACGAATTTACCTTCCAAAGTGACTATATGATTTTACATTTCCACCAGCAATGAATGAAAATTCATGTTTTTTCATAAGCTTGCAAGTACTTGGTATTGTCAATATTCTGGCTTTGATCATTCTAATATTTATATAGTGGTATTTTATTGTTAATTTAATGTGCATTTTCCTAAGGACATGTGTTATGAAACAACTTTTTATATGTTTATTTCTGAACTATGTATCACTTTTCTGTGAGGTGTCTGTTCAGATTTTTTGCACATTTTAAAATCTACTCATGGTGTAGGATGCCCTCCACGTAACATCCCAAATAAATACCACCCTTCCAACATAAGGGTATGACTGTCCACCAACTCAAGCCAGTTGTACCTTTTGCTTTTCCTTGACATGGAGTAACAGAGGGGAGGACTAACCAACTGACTTGATTTTGGATGAGGGAAACACACAGGGAGAGAAGAGAATTGCCAGATCCCTCAATTATAGATACTAAGTCCGATTTTTACTTGAACCCCTGCCCTGCGGCTTACATTCAGCAGAGACCAGAGGGCTGATTACATTTTCCATCTACCAAAGCAAGCAAAGAACACATTGGTTTGGATGGTAACAGAAAGGCCTCAGGTGAAAATGGTGACTGGCTATAGCCCAAGACTACAGATCTTGGAGAAAGACACAGCAATGTTTTCTTTGACTCAATCTTTTTTTAAATTTTTCTATTTTTTATTCCTTTTATCTTTCCCCCTTTATTTTTTTTGGAAGGGTGTTGAACTTTTTTCTTTCCCTGTTTCCCTCTTAGTTTCTTTTCTCTCCTTTTCTTTTTTCCCCTTTCTCCTTTTTTTCCTCTTCCTTCTTGTATTTCTTTTATTTCCTGTATTTTGCACTATTTATATTTTTCTTTTTCTTGTTCATTATTTCCTGTGACTATTCTCTAATACTATGAATTTCCTTTCATTCTTAATAGGACTTCCTATCTCATTTTTCTCTCCTCCTTTTCATATCCCACTGATGAATATTTCAAGTTTTGCTTTTTTTATCCTGTGGTTCCCCAGCCACTCTACATTGACAAGTGTAGCTGCTAAGTTTTATGAATCTATAGTTAGCTAGTTAACTTTCTGCTATTGCTGTTTAATACTGTTCTTTTGTGAGTAGAAATAAAGTGTTGCATTAAGTAGATATGTACTATAGGTCAGCAGTAGGTCAGTATTTTGTCTTAGTGTCCTTAGTATAATTATGAATCTCTTCTCTTGTTAAGGGTTGTACATTATTGATCCCTAGGGTTTGTCAGTATTCAGTTTGTATTTAATACTATAACTGATGCTGATTTTATTACTATAGCCAAACTGACCATGCTGTTGCTATTAATTGATTTTTGTGGGATGCCAATATATGGATTGCCTTGGAGTCCTTACAGTACCTTACAATTCCTGGAGAACTGGGCCCTGGGTCAGTTATTATGCAATCTCCCTTCTTAATTGTATGGAGATGATTGGATCCTGGGCCAGACCAAAAGCCAATAGTTAGCCATGCACAGAGAACACCACTGAAAAGTAGATATTAAATGATTCATCACCA